ATTATGGGTGCAAGCCACTGTATCCAGCCCTCCTCCAAATTCAATGTGGTTACTTCTTTAAATTTTAGACTAGTGATCCCAGAACACTTATGCAAAAAATTGCTCCTATCAGTCTGATGACTGGAGGATCACATCGTGGGGCACATTTCCTGGATGGAAGTCTCCTGCCTACCTGGCTCCCAAAGACTAAAGTGTCACTTAATTTCTTCAGGTCCGAGTTCCATCAGTTGACTAGATATTCCAGTGCCAGCCATTGTCTCAGTTGAGGTGAGCTTACCACCCCTGCTTATGCCTCGAAAGTCAGCCTCTGTAATCAAGACTATTCTCCAAGGTCTCCTTTGAACTTGGGTCCACATACCCATTTTGTTCTCCTCTGCAATGTTACATACCATGACTGATGCATAATGCATTCTATCCAAGCTGCAAGCTAAGATCAACATTTCCTTAGCATGACTCTTCCACAGAAGTACTTTTCGTTTGTACCTAGAAATATTTTCTGAGTCAGAATTAGCATCTCTGCTATCTAAAGATGTATTTTTTCCAGAGAGTGACTGAAAAGTAAAGTGGTATTATTACTACTAATTAAGACCTAGGAGGTCTCCCTATTCATATCTCCTGATACAGGCTTTAATATATGCAGATCTGGGAGAAAAGAAGTCTCAATAAAAATAATGCCCGTGAAAGGTGAAGTAGGTATGCATGCAAGTCACTTGAGTAGACTGATGAGGATAAATTGCCACTTTTCAAATGTCCCACCTGGACTGCATCATCCCTTCTGACATCTTTGCAATTTCAACCATTTAGCACAATTATGAGAAAAGTTTGACCAGCAGATCACATGCTGCCAACATAAGATTGCAATGCAGCTTAGAATCCAGCTCCAGGAATCCTTTATTTCTAGCAATGGAGAAATGGACATCCACTTAGGTAAACTAAGCCCAGACCCAGTCTGACCCTTGCCTTGCTGACCAAATGCTTCTGATCAGGCCTCGCAGACAGGGCAGGACCAATCAAGTGCAGCCAGCTCAGCTGCTGTGTGTACAGTTCACAGGGAGGAGTAGTTGGACATTCCAGGCAGGGCCTGGATTGGGCCTTGATCAGGGGTCATGGTTCAAGCCAAAGCAGATGCAGTTTCCCCACAGCAGTTGCTGGGAGTCTGGCTACTTCTCCACTTGAGAATGAAACTCAGTTCCCGGGGTGATCCATCCCACACATCTAAAAATATTATTGAGGTGATTTTATCTTCTATAACACCACAGAATTTATGTGGTTAAACATAAAAGTTAAATTCAAATGAAATAATTCAATATTAAAGAGCATGATAAAGCAAACCATATTTTGCAAGCTTATTCGAGAAAGTTAAAAATTAGCCAGTTGTAAAATCTCTTGCGCAATAGTAAATGTGTTCACAGCTCAGCATTACAATGAGACACTTCCATTATACTATTTCTGAAAATTTATCTCCTCAAAAGGACACCTTTCAAGTGATGGAAAAAAATCATTAAAAAAAGACAAAACTTCATATATTGCACTTTCTAGTCTAATAATAACATATATGATAAGAAGAAATAAATGAAGTTCAAGGGCATTTTTTCATTTCATTTCCTCAGACTACCTGTCTGCACACAAGTCCTAACACATCGACCTCTCCCAGCTGGGTTCACCATGAGTGTTCAAACCAACTCATGCACCTACAGGAGCAGTCAGCACAGTGCCTGCCAGTCATGCTGCGGGAGAGACACATATACCCTCGCTGCATGTGCAGAGAGCTCATTTGAACTCATTCTCCTCATACCAAGTAATCTGGCCTCTCTCGACCACCCTCAGTTTACTCTCAGAACCCTGGCAGTTGAGAAACAGGTCAAAAAGTCCAATGCAATGACCCACTGGTAGCAGCAGAAGCAATAATAGACAAAAGCAGAGAAGAGGAACAACAAGAGGTAAGACCAGGAGGGGCAGAAAACCCCAACCAGAATAGCAGAGGTCTCCAGGTCACGTGGGAGACTCAAGCCACTCTCAGTAACCCTTGAGAACACCACCAACTTGGAAGGCAGAAAACCATCCAAGCGCAATAACACCACATTCTGGGGCAACCAATACAGTATCCCCCAGGCTCTTGACTGGTGATCTGGGTGTGAAATGTAGGCTTACAACAAGGCACTTGAACTGAACTAAACCATCATCTTTTGTGACTACATTTGATTTCTGAAAGTAGTTAAAATCACTTACTCGGCTGCAGTGAACAACTAGAAAAAAAATTTAATTTAGAAATAAAAACGTAGGCCAGGTTCAGTGGCTCAGCCTGTAATCCCAGAACTTTGGGAGGCTGAGGCGAGTGGATTGCCTGAGCTCGTGGGTTCAAGACCTGCCCAGGCAACTTGGCAAGACTTCGTCTCTACAATTAAAAAAAAAAAAATTAGCCAGGCGTGGTAGCAAGCCTGTAGTTCCAGCTATTTGGAAGGCTGAGGCAGAAGGATTGCCAGAGCCCAGCAGGTCGACACTAGGATGACCATGAGTGTGCCACTGCATTCCAGCCTGGGCAATGGAGTGAGACTCCAATTCAAAAAAAAAGAAAAGAAAAATGCAACCTGGGCAACAAAGTGAGGCTTCATCTCTATAAAAAATTAGGGCACCCCTCCCGGCCCCCTCCCATTCTGGGAGCTTTTCTCTCAATAAAGTCCACTTTTAAAAAAAAAATAGAAAAAATTAGCCAGGTGTAGTGGTGCACACTTGTAATTGCAACTACTCAGGAGGCTGAGGTAGGAGGATCACTTGAACCCAGGAATTTGAGGCTACAGTGAGCTATGATTGCACCACTGCACTCCAGTCTGGATGACAGAGTAAGACCTCAACTCAAAAAAAACCCCTTTTTAAAATAAATAAGTAAATTTTTAAAAAATCACTTAGAACCCAATATGAGTGAGTAAGTTATAAGAGAAAGGTATATGAGAAATGTTTTTTTCAATTAAGAATAAAATAACATAAATAATGAAATTAATTTGCTTTTGTGATTGCAAAGTAGGAGTTCTAAAAATAATTGGAGAAAGAACAGCTTGGTTAAATTATGTAGATTATCCTCCAAGGTAAGAAGCATATTCATTGTGAAATATTTTCATGGTGTTGGATAGCAATTAGCCTTGTTAAAGCTTCTGGCTGAACATGAGGGATGGAACACATGTAATGATTTTTATTTCATCTCTGGAACCCCATCAAAACAACAGTTAAGGGAAAGAAAAAAGAATGGGATACCAGAGCAGAGAAGCAATATCCTCACATTTCAGCAGATGAAAACTAGGTGGAAGAGTACCAACTGACTCACAAAAGGGAGCGTTCACAGCCTAACTTATCAGAGAAACACCAGGAGAAACCACAGGCCCTTGGGAAGGCGGACTTAGAGGCACCCAGCACAGCAAAGGGCAGGGTGAAGCAAGAGGGCAAAGCCAGATGGACTCCTCTAAAGCCTCTTCTGGCTTTTTTGTCTTAGTTTTTTAGGGGGCCTCTTTTGTTTGTTTTTGGTTTAAGATGGGGTCTCACTCTCTTGCCCAGGCTGGAGTGCAGTAGTGTGATCATGGCTCACTGTAGCCTCAAACTCCTGAGCTGAAGCAATCCTCCCAACTCAGCCCCCTGAGTAGCTGGGACTACAGATACATGCCACCACATCCAGCTGAAAGTGTTTATTCTAAATTATCCCCAGAGCACTTTGCTCTGCCTGCACCCAGAACACCAACACCAGGCAGAAGAATAGTACTCTTTTTCCTGGAATATCTGAATACCTCCAAAAAAAAATTCTGGATACTAATTTTAGAATCCCTCATCAAAAAAGGCAGGCTCCCAGCCTGATTACTGCATGATCAATCCTACCCGCTGAAAAGTCCTGGGCAAACACACAGAACTGCAAATCAACAATCTAGTGCTGTGCTCTAAATCGTGAATGGAAAGCCCAGGGTCAACAGACCTTTAAGGAAGTCATCTAATACAGAAAGCAAAGATCAAAACAAACACAGAGAAAAGAATTGAGAAGAAACAAAAGTAATGCATGTGTTAACATCAAAAGAACTATAATCCATGTTCTCCGAGAGAAAAAAGATAGTATCGCATCCAAGAAACAAAAACAGAATACTAGTGTAAAAGAAACAAGAAAACAAGAAAGAGCTTGCAGAAATTAAAAATAAGAATTAAAGATAAAGTTCAGGATTTCTTACAGAAGGTGAAACAAGAGATAAAATGATAAACAACAGAAAAACTAAGAAAATTAGAAGCTCTGACTATGAAATTGGCCATCTAAATAACAGGACTTCAGAAGAAGTAAGTAAGCAAGATAAAGTTATCAAAGAAATCATACATTTTTCCCAAAAAAACTAAAGACCCAGACTGCAAGGATACACTGAGCACTCAGCACCATGAATGAAAAAAAAAGCCTCAAAACAAGGCACTTTGGAGTTCTGTTTTAGGCATACAAAGTTTACATGGCCTGTTACACATGCCAGTGAGAATATCATAACAGATTTAGGAGTCCAGAGCTCAGGGAAGGAGTCAGGGTTGAGATATAGGTTATGACACTGAATAACCTATGGAGAGTTAGACAAAAAAGGGTGAAAAGGAAAAGGAGAAACAGAAGAGAGAAGAAGGGAAGACCTTTTTTTAAAACCAGGAAGTACTTTAATCATTTTTCTTAGAAAAAAAATTTTCCATAGTTCACAACATTTCAACAACAAAGTGCCAGTTGAGAGAGGGATTTTCAGAAGTTGGGGATTCTAGAATATTAAGAAATGTTAGAATCCTGCTTCATTATAGATGGGTAACATAGGTCATAAACGGGAGACTTCTGGTTGCTAAGCCAATATCCAAACTCAGTGGAAGGACACTTCCTTCCATGGGGTTGATTTTCCTTCTTGCTGTCTTCCCTGTGGGAATATATGGCCTGCTGCCATATCAAGCCCAGTAGCAGCGAGCTTAGGCTCCAGTCTTCATCCTCAATAGGAAGGGGAGTGAAGGGATGCTCACTCCTGAGTTTCCACGCTTTCCTCTTCCTCTCCCTGAGGTGGCTCTTCTGTATCCTCCTCCTCGTCCTCTCCTTCCTTCTCTGGTGGCTTCTCATAAACCTTTTCTGAAGGTGTCATTATCACTCCATCCCAGGTAGATATTTCAGAAGCAAGATAGCTGGCATCACCCTCCTGGCCAAGGATCTTTCTACAGCCACCATGTGAAATGATTTGGACCAAAGTCTGAGCTGTGTAGCAGACCATGTCCTGCTGTTACAGGGTCATGACTGTGTATACTCTGAAGTTGCCACTCTCACAGGGATCAGTGATACCCACTGAACCTGGCAGGAATAGTCCTGCAGCCAGAATCTGCAAGCAACATTTAGGGCCAAAGACTGTCTGGTGGGGTTGTTCATCACAGCATAATGACCAAGTAGGTTATAGAATCCAGGGTATGAGGGGCTCAAAGCCAGGAAAATGAATCCTCAAGTCCTGCAACAGTCTGATGAGAACTTCAACCGTGGACCGAGAAGCATTTTCCTCCAACCATCAGGCATGTCGGATAGCGGCTAAGGCCCTCTTCAACACCTTGGTATCCAAATGAAGCTCTGGGTCCAGTTTTCGGATACCAGGTGGCACTGTTGTAATAAGAATTGACACCGTAGCATCAGAAGAACTGATTTCAAAGCCAGTTTCGTTGATCAGCATGGTCAAAACTTTAGATTCTGTGCTCTTAGGCTTTCCACAATTTTGTTCCCCAGAGCAGCAACAGCTTCCGGTGTTGGCAGAATCTTTAGTATGACCACCAGGTCAGCTACTCTGTGTCCTGTAGTGGTTGCTCCCTTTTAGCACGATCACACCTGTCAGACTTTTGATTTGCACTTCAAACGTTCCCGGAGTTACATTCAGATCATCAATCACATTGTCTATTTTTTGTCACCAGAGAAAAGATAGAGGCCTGTCCAGCAGAATTAGGAGCCAGGTCCTGATTCCTCTTCAGCAAGGCCTCACTGGAGGAAGTCTCGTCAGGGGCTGGCTTGACTCGGGGGAAGGCCATCTCACACAAATAGAGATCAAATGGGATATGAGGCACAAAGGGCCTGAACCCTCCTCCTGGACCTCCTCTGGAGCCAAAACTCCCACCACGACCACCGCCTCTGTCACCCCTCATGGCACCTTAAACACAAACAATGGAGGCCGCACCAACTGCTCCTTTCCTCTCAAATCAGGAGACTCTTAAGACATCAGGCTGGTTTGGGGCTCTGTTTCCCGATTTCCCTCCTCCCCTAAACCCCAAGTACTTTTGCTCAGTGGCTAGGGCTGCCAGACTTTAACCATATTCATTAATACCTTAACAATTCAGTAGGAAAGTCCCAAAACATGTCCAAAACACATGAACATTAACAAACAGCTCCCCCTGCTGGCCCAGTTTTTAAAAGCGCTTTCAACCACCACCCTCCTGAAGGCAGGATCCATGGGTGAGCCCAGGAGTAAATTGGGTGAACACTCATGGGACACGCACGGGTCCTGCTTGCATGCCTGTTCATCCTCAAAGCCTCCTGTCTGTCACTGCAGGTTGTATGAATATCCTGCTCAGCATTTGAGAAAATTGTCCACTCTTTCTTTCTAAAGAGTTGCTTGCGATGTCAGTATCGTCAACTGAGTTGTGTGACTGTTTCTCAGCAGGAGACACACGGTCCCCAAAGGAGGAACTGGACATCAGTGGTTCTTACCTCATCAGCTGGCCCAGGCACTACCTCAGCAGAAGGAGGATACTTGAGTGGGAGAAGCACCTTTCCCCAACCTCAACTGTACCTCTGCTTTTTTATGCTTTATGTATTGGGATACTTACTCATATTTTATTGGGGAAAATGGTAGCTTTCAAAAAAAATATTGTAAACCACTCATTTCTACCAACTCCAACAGAAAAAGATTCTATGTAGAAACATGTTATCTCATCATCTCACTTACCTTCATCCCTGGTCCTGCATCCAAGTGGAGTCTGGAGCTCCTGGGAGATGGTGAGTTTCCATAAAGAGAGCACTGGGTGATTTAGGTCAGAGCTTTCTGCAAGGCATTCAGCAGTAATGTGCCTTATACAGTAACGTCCTGTGTATTCAACGATAGCAAAAATCACTATAGAAATTTTGGAGGGACCGAAAGAGCCCCATGCAAGTAGACAGGTACCTGATGCCCTGGAAGGACTGCATATCACTTAAAAGTCTTCCCTTCATATTATTCCTCTCAAACATGTTTTTGGCAAGGGTTTGGCTTCCTACAGATATGTGGTCAATTAAGGGAGAATTTCTGTGCTTTAACAATCAATTCTGCCAATGTATATAGAAACATTTAGACAACTATGAGAGCCCAAACTTTCATAGAGTTAGCCTACAATACCTTTGGCTAACTCTATGAAAGTTTGGGCTCTCATAGTTGTCTAAATGTTTCTATATACATTTAGGTGTGGTGGCTTACGTCTGTAATCCTAGAAGATTCCCTAAGCTCATGTTACCAATTGCACAACTGGCAACAAAAAAGAAAAAAATTCAATGAAGTGTTTTTATTTTAATCTTAGCAGCATCCTTGCAGTGAACACTTCCAGATATTCTAATTGCATATTCTAATTATTCAACATGTAATCCTGAGTAATTAAATGATTCATCTGCATGTTTACTTTGTATAAACCAATTAACTGTTGGAAGATACTTACTAAAAACAAATATATAAAGTAGGTGTAGTTCCTGTCCTCATAGAGCTTACATTCAGATGGAAATCAAATAAGTCATCACAAAATAAACATATAGTTACAGATTGTTTAAAAAAATGCTTTGGGCCAAGCATGGTGTCTCACATCTGTAAGACTAGCCCTTTGGAAGGCAGAGGCGGGAGAATCACTTGAGCCCAGGAGTTCCAGACCAGCCTGGGCAACATAACAAGACCCCATCTCTATTTAAAATTTTTTTTAATCTTAAAAGAAATTTTTAATTCTTTGAAGGAACAATTTGCTAAGAGAATGACAGAGTGACCTAGTGGAAACTGTGAAGGGGGGTGTTAAGGAAAGTCTCTTTGAGGAATTGAGTTTAAACAGATGTAAAGGAGGAATAATAGCTCTTGAGATAAAGAGTGGAGGACACAGTTGTTCCACGCAGAAGTGCAACAGGTCAGGACTCCCTGAAGTAAAAGAGAGAACACCATATTGCTGAGAGTGGGCCCCAGGCCAGAAATCAGTGGGCAAGGAGGATTCTGAAAAGTCAAAGCCAAATAAACAAAATAAATAAAAACTTAGAGGCCGTGGTAGAGATTTCTGATTGTTATCTAGGATAAGTGTTGTAAGCAAAAAAGTTTGCATAACTGAATTTCTTCCAAAATTCAAAAATTTGGGGATTTTATAATAAATCCATTTTAAGCCTACAGTTGATGAGTTTTAGTATATTTGCATAGTTGTGCAAACCATCACTGCACTCACCAAAAAAAGTTCATATGTGCTCATCTATGCCTGTTTGTTCCCACCTCCAGCCTGAGGCAACCACTAACCTGATTTCTGTCTCAGTCGTTTTTCCTTTGCTAGAAACTTCATATAAATGAGTTAGGTGTGGTGGCTTACGTCTGTAATCCCAGCACTTTAGGAGGCCAGGAGTTCGAGACCAGCCTGGGCAACATAGCAAGACCAACAAAAAAATTTTTAAATTAGCTGAGCATGGTAGTGTGCACCTGCAGTCCTGGCTATTTGAAAGGCTGAAGTGGGAGGATTGCTTGAGCCCAGGAATTCAAGGTTACACAGTGGTTACACCACTGTACTCCAGCCTGAGTCACAGAGCAAGACCCTATTTCTTAAAAAAAAAAAAAAAAAAAAGAAAAGAAAGAAAAAAAACTTCACATAAATGAAAGCATACACTATGTAGAGTTTTGTCTGTGACTTATTTTATTCGGCACAATGTTTTTTGAGAATCATCAATGTCATTGTTGAAGTCATCCTCACAGGGTTAACAAGAATTTTGAACAGAAATACAATTATGTATTAATCAGGTTGCACTTTGACCTACTTCTTTGTAACCAAAAGCCATATAACACTAACACATAACTATTGACCACTTGCATGCCCATTGCTCCTATTGATAAGATTTCTAATATTAAAATCATAAGGCTTTAAGAATTGCTTAAGTAGGCCAGGCGCAGTGGCTCAAACCTGTAATCCCAGCACTTTGGGAGGCCGAGATAAGGGGACTGCCCAAGCCCACGGGTTCAAGAACAGCCTGGGCATCTTGGCAAGACCTCAGCTCTATAATAAATCAAAAAATTAGCCAGGTGTGGTAGCATGCACTTGCAGTTCCAGCTACTTGGAAAGCGAGGTGGAAGAATCGCCTGAGCCCAGTAGGTTGACACTGGGGTGGCCATGAGTATGTCACGGCACTCCAGCCTAGGCGACAAAGTATGACTCCAACTCAAAAAAAAAAAAAAAAAAAAAGGAATTGCTTAAGCAGATCCTGAATTCCAGCAGAACAGCTGATGTCAATCAGGTTCAAGACCCCACAGAGAGACTAATCAGTGTGAGAATACAGTGTCTTCATCTCTCTGTTCCATGACTTTATCCTGTACTCTTTGACCAGTCAGTGATCTCCACACTTAAAGTCCTTAAAAACGCAAGCCCCAGATGCCTCCAAGAGACAGATTTGAGGTTTCCTCTCAACTCCTTGTTCAACAGCCCTACAATTAAAACTCTATGCAACCCAGTGTCTCAGAGTATTGACTTGCCATGCACATCAAACAAGGAGCCTCTATCATAATTGCACTGTGAGTATCAATAATTTGTTTCTTTTTATTGCTGAATATCATCCCATGGTATGGATAGAACACAGGTTGTCTATCCATTTACCAGTTGATGGACATATGGATTGTGTCCAAGTGATGGCTATTATAAAAAGGCCACCGTGAACATTCATCTACAAGTCTCTGTATGGGCATAGGCTTATTTCTCTTGGGTAGATTACCAATAGCGGAATTGCTAGGTCCTATGCAAAGTTACTGTTTAACTTTTTAAAAACCTGCTTGCTGGACGCAGTAGCTCAAGCCTGTAATCCCAGCACTTTGGGAGGCTGAGGTGAGAGGATTGCCTAAGCCCAGGGGTTCGAAACCAGCCTGGGCAACTTGGTGAAACCTCGTCTCTACAATATATTAAAAAATTAGGGCATACTCAGTGGCTCAGCCTGTAATCCCAGCACTTTGGGAGACCGAGGCAAGTAGATTACCTGAGCTCGCAGGTTTGAGACCAGCCTGGGCAATTTGGCGAGACCTCATCTCTACAATAAATCAAAAATTAGCCAGGCGTGGTAGCCCATGCCTATAGTTCCAGCTACTTGGAAGGCTGAGGTGGAGGGATTGCTGGAGCCCAGCAGGTGGAGGCTGCAGTGGTCAGGAGCATGACACTACACTCCAGTCTGGGCAACAGAGTGAGACTCCAACTCAAAAAAAAAAAAAAAAAAAATTAGCCAGAGGCCGGGCTCAGTGGCTCAGTCTGTAATCCCCGCACTTTGGGAGGCCAAGGTGAGTGGATTGCCTGAGCCCGCGGGTTTGAGACCAGTCCAGGCAACTTGGTGAGACCCCCATCTCTACAATAAATAAAAAAATTAGCCGGGCGTGGTAGCACATGCTTGTAGTTCCAGCTACTTGGAAAGCTGAGCCAGAAGGATCGCCAGAGCCCAGCAGGTAGACAGGGGAGTGGCCGTGAGTGTGCCTCTGCACTCCAGCCTGGGTGACAGAGTGAGACTCCAACTCAAAAAAAAAAAAAAATTAGCCGGGCATGGTAGTGCATGCGCCTGTGGTTCCAGCTACTTGAAAGGCTGAGGAGGAAGGATCGCCGGAGCCCAGCAGGTTGACGCTGGGTGGCCACGTCGTGAGCATGCCACTGAACTCTAGCCTGGGCTACAGAGTGAGACTCTGACTCAAAAAATAAAAATAAAATCCTGCTAAACTGTTTTTCCAAGTGGCTGCATGATTTTGCATTTCCACCAGTAATGCATAGGGCTTCTCGTGTCTCTACATCCTTACCAGCACTTTTTATTGTCTGTTTTATTTTAGTCATTCTAGTGGGTGTGTAGTGGTATTTGTTTGTGGTTTGAATTTGTATTTTCCTAATGAATAAAAAACATGAACATATTTTCATGTGCTCATTTGCCATATGTATATATTATCAAATATTTTGCCAATTGTGTAGTTTGG